GTGGAGTAGGTTGGTAGCTTTAAATATTTGGGGGTTTTATAACAAAATTTCTGTCGTGCATTCACAGTCTGGTATGCATTTCATTGCTGATAAGAAATCATTAAAAGAATCATGTGTTCATGCAGGCACATTCAGTCTTTTTAATTGTCCCCTCCAAAGCACTTTCTTACATGTTGGAGAGAGAGAGTAGATAATGCTCTCTTGATGTTTTGATTGAGTTCAGAGGTGCTTTAGTAACTGTAGTATGATGTGACGGGTATATGTGGCAAGACTAATCTGTGGTTTTGTGCAGATGTGAGGTTTACCTGGAAGAGGAGTGAATCCTCCTTGGCACTAACTGATGGTTCAGGTACTATCATCTCATGCAAGTTCAGAGTTGCACCATGCTTCATACCTGTAAACCTGCACCTCTGAGTTCTCTTGGTATGTTATGCAGAGCAACCTGATCTGAACATCTGTTGGTTTCTACATTGAGGTTTACCAAGATCTTTCAAAAAATTGGACCCTTCTAGTTTAGTTTGATTGTTACTTCAGCAAGAGAAAAAGACTTGCCTGAGGTGGTTTGCTAGAAGCTCCTAGGTCCTAAAGGAATAGTCAAGGACAACAAGCACATTAAAACATGAAAGCAGCTGGACATCCAGGACGTTATTTTTCATCTTTCTCCCTTTTCCTTCCCCTGTATTGTGAATCAAAGCTGTTGCAGATCACAGCCGTTTAGAAGATGGTCTTCTAAACCCTTCAGACACCTTCTGTCAGGACTAGCTATTTTGATTACCTTGCAAAATATGACAGATGTCCCATACACATGAGCATTTGTAACATGCTTGAAAATGTTTGGAGTTACGAATATAAAAACTGGCTGCAAGAAACTTGAGTTCAGAACAGGAGATAATACTGAGAGAGGAAGTGTAATGATGTGCCTTTTCTAGCACTGCATGTGCATACTTTGCTTCTATGGGCTGACTGTACCAAGAAATTTGCCTTGTGGTAATTTAAGAAGGGGAAAATTCAGGACTAAGATGTTTGCATAATTAAGTGAGGTGTATTTGTAGGCAGATCAATTTGTGGAAGTTACCCCATTACTCAGAGGGACTATAGAGGCCTTCAGTGTTGTTTGAGAAAGACTGTGGTTTGGTGGCCAGAATAGTTCTGGGGACTTCTTAAGACTAAGCTGTAAGAGCAGTCAATGTATGTAATGTTGTAAGTTTAATTACAATGTACAATCTGTGAGAATACTACACCAGTGGCTAGCTAAGTGGCTAAAGGACACTGAATAAGTAAAGTAGCAGAGCATGCACTTTTTATCTACTTGGTGGGGTTAGTTCTTCTGCACTTTCTCAAAGATAATGTGTCTGGGCATCGTGTCATCTTTGCAAAGCTGCTTTGGGTAAACAAGGAAAACGATAGCTTTGAGTCTTGGGGAAGCAATGGGTCAGGTTAACTCTCTTGTGATTTTTAGTGCCATTGACTTGCTGTAATAACTAATGGAACGTGTCAGAAACGAACCTAGCTAGGAGTAATAAATGTTAATTGACGTCTCTTTAGTTGCAATCTAAAATCCAAACTTAAATTTAATTACGTTTTTGAGGTTTCTTGAAAAGGCGGTGGATTTTGTTTTGTATGGGCTTTTTCTTGGGTTTTTTTTTTTTAAGTACTTGACTAACATGCATAATACCTAAATGGCTGCTCTAATATTACTGTTTCAGTTCTAAAATTTTGTCACTGCCTCGCCTTTTTTGTTTAAAATTGCATTTTATTTTAAGAAACATCTAACTTTATGTGCTGATTTCTAGACATTTTATTTAACACTGACATAAACTGAACATACAGGGAGCCATGTTTATGATGTACTAGTAAGGTAGTGTTTCCCACAAAAATATATAACATATCTTAAGATATGTTATCAAGGTATCTACAGAAGTATCAGAATCCCTAATTAAAATCCTGTGTAGGAGATGCAGATTGTTGCCTGGAATTGGTTTTAGATGGCAGTGAACTTCAAGGAGAGTGTTGGGTTTTGCAGCCTGCTTGTTTCCAGCACCCTGACAAATTTCTCAGAATGTAGAGATTGTTCTTCTGAAATGGTATTTTTAAGTAGCCACATAGTAGCTGATGCATAATGAATGAACATATTGTAATGGACCAGGAAGATCTTAAAACTGTGTAGCCTGTCTTTCTAGACAGTGTGGATATTGCATGCTTCTGTGGAATTCAGCTTTAGCATTGTTTGGAAATAATCTCTGAGATAACATTATTTGTCCTAACTTGATTCGTTTTTTCTCCAACATCTTAACCTTGTTATGTTTCAATTTCATTGAATGCTGATTTCTAGAAGTTGATGAGTTTCTAGTTTAAATTCCCCTATACTTTCCAACAATAGCAAGGTGTTCATGTGTAAAAGAGAGGCCTGTTGCGAGACTTAAGAAGAATAACTTGACTTTCATTCAGTGCTGTTCAAATTCAGAAATTCTATATATGTGTCTGTGTCTCACAAACTAGGAACCTTGACCTTCTTTATGCATGTTTCTTGTTATCCTTGGGTGTAGCTGGGCAGAATGGTTGACTCTGAAGATAATCTGTCTAAGAGGGAATAATTAAGAAGCTCTCCAGAGGGCCTTAGTTTTTCTGTCACAAAAAGACCAAAATCCAGAATCATTACCATGAACCTTGTTACTCTGGTTTTCCCTCTTCAGATTTGATTCTGCATTATATTGTCATTATGATTAAATAACTGCATTCTCTGTTAAATCTGCATTAAAATGATCTATCCTGTGAAGCCATCTTTCACTTTGTCTATGGCATTGGTTCTGTTTGCCTATCCAGCTGTTTAGCTAAAAGATGCGTTCGAGTATCTACTGGAAGTAGGCTAATCCTGTGAAGTGTATGATATTGGCAATTGATACTAGGGTTGCTAATGCTTCTGGTAGGCATTGTATTTCAAGCAGTGAAGATCTAATTGTGTGCTTATGTAGGCTCCAAGACTTTTAAAACTTGCTTGTGTTGTATAGTGCTGTAGCTCTGGATGAGTTTCTAGGTATGGCTATAATATTTATTATTACCACCATACAAATACTGATCTTGTAGGGTGTTTTCTTAGACAAGATCTTTATTTGAGCTCTAGTTTATTGCATGTAGGACTTGTGTCTGATGTTGAAGAAATGTTTCAAAGCCTCTTTGCCTGAAGCTGTCCTGCTGATCCTCTCTTTCCAAGTCCACAGCAAGTATTTTAATTATGTGCTTCTACAGGATAGATACTATTGCTAGCATGTTATTTTATGGCTGAATAAATTTGTCTGATACACAGAATCTAAACACGCCTGGCTTGCTTGGTTCTGCAGTAATTTGGAAAATGGCTTAGCAGTGGGGGTAAAGTAGTATTTTTGCAGAGAGACTCCAGTAATGAAAAGACAAAGAGAAAATTATATTTAGGACTGTTCTCCTGGCCATAGTGAATAATCAATAATGCTGGAGGTGATGTAAGCAGAGTTGTGCTACATTTGGGAAGAACGTTCTGGTTGTGGTATACTTCTTGTTTTTTCCGGTTCTGTTGCAGCTGTTTGCTAGTTTTCCCAATTCTACTAGTGCTTATGTCCTGAAATAACTCTGCTTGGCTCAGTGGGACTATCTGTAAAGCCTGGGTGTTTACAGAAGGGGATTGACTTCAGTCTATAATAAATGCATACTGAAGTTGGAAGCACTGCGATAAATTCCATTTTGTATAAGAAAATAATTACTTGCATAAGGAATGACGGATGAGATCAGCATAGACCAACATTAGGTTGGGTGTTGGGAGAAACAGTGAAACCTCCCGCTGCCTTCTGACTCTGCTTTTCAGCTTCAGGTCAAAGATCTAGAAACTTGTGGTCTGTAAAGAAGCAGGCTCAGTTAGTGGTCTATACAAAGATATCGAGATACCCACTTTTTGATTGAAGCAGTGAATAAGGGGAAAATATTAAGGTGTCTTGAATTTTGTTGGTGCTTTATGCTTAGCAGGTACTGAGTGAGCTGGGAGTAAGCATGCCTTTCTGTTACAAAATCTAAAAACTGGTTAAGACAACACTGTTTCTACCTACAGTATTTGCCTGCCTTAAAAATCTGTAACTTAAAAGATTAGAGGCTAAATTTTACCTGTTAAACATTTGTACCCATCTGCCACTAATGTTAGAAAGCATTTGAAATACTGAAACACTGAACACCCCTTTGTGACATCTTCTGTTATTTTGGTTTCTCCTTGGAACATTTCCAAGCACCATCTGTATCTTGCCCCTTAAATATTTGGAAGTTAAACAGTACAGAAGCACTGAAGATTTCGGTGACTAACATTTAACGTGGGATGATGTGTTGGCATGCATTAAAAATAACATCCTCTTAACTCTTCAAAATTTTTGAGGTTTAAAATATATTTATGAGATATCATGGGGTCTTCTTTTTAAGAATAGATTATTTTTAAATAAAGATGTAGCTTCTTCATGACTTGAATGAGAATTTCTGTGACTTACAAATACATGCAAACAGGTTTGGGGAACAAAACTTACATGAAAAAATATTTTTCGCAATGTTATTCAAGATGAATGATTGAGTGAAACTTTGTTTCCAAATATGCCAAAATACAGTATTTTTTGTACTGTGTATTTTTAAAAGACTAAATTTGGTTATGATTAGACAAGTTTATTGGCAACATGGTAGTGTAATGTGTAGTTTGGCATAATTTTGTATTAAAAAGTCTGTAATGGTTTGTTGATTCCTGCCTATGTGTCTCTAGCTTTACTTTTGGAGCTGGTAAAATGTTTCTGCAGACCTTTTTCTGGAGACGTGCAGCAAACTCTGCCCAAAGACCGCATGTTCTGCTTAAGCTACCATCCAAAGTTATCAGTTACGCTTGTAAATGTAAATAAATTACTCCCCTCGACACCTTTTTAAGCTTTTAGTCTATTCTACTACAACTGTCTAAGTTCCAAGTAGCTAAATTCCCAACTATTTGATCTGCCTTCCAGCATACCTCTGTGGATGGATACACTGAACCACATGTCCAGCCTATCAAGTCCAGTAGCAGACAAAACATCCCGCGGTGTAGAAACTCCATTACTTCTACCAATGAAGAGCACCCTCACATTGGAAACTATCGCTTACTGAAAACAATAGGAAAAGGAAACTTTGCCAAAGTGAAACTGGCAAGGCATGTGCTTACTGGAAGAGAGGTAAGCCCGTAAAAGAAAGAAAGAAAAAAAAAAAAAACAAACCAAAAAACAAAAAAGGCCAAGTGTTTTCTATTGTTTTTATAATACTATCTTTGTAATAAGTATTTCTGCTATTCTTTTACCTTTCTCTTCTGAATAGAAAAAGCACTTTTTTTTTTTGCTGTCATAAAGGAAGATGCAAAGAGGCCATTTCGGGATATAAGAAAAGTTACCTGAGGTGCCCAAGTTTTGTCCCTCTGTCCACTCACCCCCTTTTTTTTTTTTTTTTTTTTTTTTTTTTTTTTTTTTTTTCAAATGTAACAACTCAGTGAAGAGATCAAAAAGTTTGTTGTACATCAAGGGGTATTTTGGGGCTGGGAGGGGGGTCCATTCATCCCCAAGCATTTCCAAAACCGAAGAGAAATCTATTGATAGATAGATGTCATTGACATTGATAATCTGTTGATAGATAGATAGATAGATAGATCCTTGATATTGAAACCTATTGATAGATAGATCTTGTGTTTGAAGGGCCTGGTTTTGCAGTGGACAGGATAACATTGTTCTGTCCAAACACTGACAGAAGTATAAAACTGATTCCTTGGTGGTACCATCTGGTGGCAAGGTTCTGACCTCCTGCTGGTAGATCCTAATAGGTGAGAAATTTTGCTTGATGAAATGCATAAAAACATATATATGCATGTCTTACAGGCATATCTGTGCTTTTGTTCACAGAGGTGCAATATATTTTTGTTCAAATGTTTTTCTGAGTTTAATAATCCATGGTTATTTGTTTTTTCCCAAGGTTGCTGTGAAAATAATAGATAAAACCCAGCTAAATCCTACTAGTCTGCAAAAGGTAAGAATAGATGATAATATCTGAAATTCTATGAACAGTTGATCTGTGTTCTTTTCTTTACTTGACAAAAATATTTGGTCCCTTTGTCTTGCTAAACAAACATCTTTGTTTATGCATGACCTTGGGAGACAGTGGTATTCTACTGTCTTTGCTATAACGTGCATGTGCTATTTGTCTGAGGGCAGCTACTTTATGTGGTTCCTATCTAAGCGTTGCTTCTTTGCTCTTCCTTCCTCCTCCAGCTTTGCTCTTTGCTGACAATGACATTTGTATCTAATTAGATACACAAGTAGTTTGTCTACATACTAAATCAAGACATAATGCTGTAAAGAATGGTATTTTTCTTTAATGTAGTAATGTTTTTTGTGGACTTAAGAGTGCCAATTTTCATGGCTTTAATGGGTTTTTTACCTTTGTTTTTATATTCTTTCAACTTTAATAAAATATTTGTTAAACTCAAGGGACCTTTGGCAATTACTTTTTATGTATAGAATTGACAAAACATCTGAACGTAATCAGAACGTTCTTGTTTGTTTGTGCTCGTAGATAGAAATTCAGAAGTCCTTCATAACCATTGTGATAAGTGTTTTAACTAAACTGAGTGGTTTTTTGTTTGGTTTGGGGTTGTTTTACTACTTAACTATGCATATGTTTGGTTTTGGCTGATGCTCATAAATGTAGTATTGTCCTACTGGAGATTGCATATTATAAAGATTTGGGATTTTTTTGTTTACAAATACTAGACTGCTGCTATCTTTAGCTGCAGAATGGGAGAAACAGGCTAGGGCTTATTGCTCTTCTTTTATCTCTGGCTGCCGTTACTTTTTTTCTAATTGTGTAATTCTGCTTATGAGGAGTTATAAACAACTTTGCTTTAATTTCTTTTTTCTTTGATTTCTTTTAATTCTTTGATTTCTTTGCTTTAACTTCTGTAGTGTTTTCCTTCGAGTATGGGTTCATCAGGATTTTATTTTTAATTCAACCTGCTGTGCAGAGTCCATGCAAAAGCTTTGCTATCTTTAAGTCCTATATCCTATATTAAGCAAATCTCCCTGCTAATATTTGAGCTAGTAAAGAGGGACCCACAGAGGCAGTATGTGACAGAGCATTTTAGGGGAAACCTGTGCTGCTCATATAGCTTGTTTCCTACCTAGCTTGGTATTTACACTTGGAGAGCTAGGTGAGTTTGTCTCATTGTTGAGCAATGAGAGGATAAAAAATGTTAAGACTTTCTGGAAAACTAAGCATGAAAAACTTACTTCTGGGGTAATTGCTTTAATGATAAATAAGTTGTATTTCACACAAAAATATTCAATAATAATTCAATAAATCATTCCAAATATAAATGAAACTTTCATAACCTACAAAAGATGCTGTCACACTGCACAAATAATACACAAAATACTCATGTAATAGGGCATTGCTGCTGTTATTTGTTTTTTGAGTGGGAAGCTGATAAGAAGAGAAACTTTTTTAGGTACAGTTAGAAGTAGCTTATAGCAGAACTAAGGGCGGAAGTTAAATTTAGTGATTTAACCACAATTCCATTCTTCTTCAATAACTTCTAGAAATATTTATCCTGTGCATCTTCTGCTTACACTGGGAAGTGTGATAATCTGTTGCTATAAAGTTTTCCTTTGTAATATCTTGCTTGTAATTTTCAGAAAAAATAATCTTTGTTTTGAAGCTCTAAATATCTTCAGCCTCCTATAATCTTCTGAGAATTTTGAGTGAAACTGAATATTGATTCCTTGAAAGCTTTTAAGTAAGCTTAAGCACAGATTTTGCACAGTCACTCAAGCAACTGTAGAGTTTTTTAAGCAAATAAGGATGGGAGGGGGTGGTTCATCAACATACTTAGAATTACTTCTTCTGTTAGTATTTTGATAGCTCATTTATGTATCGTAAATAAAACAATTAAAAATTTTCTTGTTCTGTTCTATGAAATCAGTTATCTACTTAAAATTTGTGATTCTTTACGTACTACATAGTAGCATAAATGTGAATTTTTGTAGTTTTGTCATCAGGGTTATACTGTACATGGGACTGTTAAGTAGTCAATTTTTTCTTCAAGAGGTAATGCTGGGAATGGGAAGTGGTGATAGTATTGTTTTAATAGGAACGGACAGTTTTTTAATGAATGTTTATAGAGGAATCCTGGAGTATGTTACCTCCACAAAAATACTGCTCCTGAGTTTGAACCCATCTAAATTACCGTAGTTGAGAGGACAGCCTCTAGAATTTCAAAGCTGGTAAATTGTACACAGGTCAGCAAAACTTTTAGGCCTTCGATCACTATTGTTTATTACTTATCAAACAAGACAAATACGTAGTGATCTTGGGCACAGGGTCATTCACAAAACCATCCCCTCTCCATTCACTATAATATGAAGGCTACCAAGTGGAAATAGGTTTTGCCATAGTACTTGCTGCTGACCTAATTAAGTAAAATGAGTTGAGGCATCATAGCTTTTCATGCACTGTTCTGTTTTGTAAACAGAAATATTTGAGCACATACTTCAGTTGCTGAAAGTGTCATACAAGCTGGGTCTGTAGTTAGTCACGGGCGTGAAAGCAAAGAAAGTGTTTAGTTTGTTCTTAGCCACTCTCCCATGTTATTTATGCCGTATAGTATGGACACAGTACTTTGCAGACATAGTTATTTTAATTTAGACTGTCCAATGTTAGGAAATGACACAAGTAAGCTGACCCTGTGAATTTTTAATTTTGCATCCTTGTGTGTGCATGCAATGTGATAGTCTTAAGTTGTATTTTATGCTTCAGGACCTATACCTCTTTAAATAGATAAACAATGTTGAATTAAGAGCACTGCCTTATATTTTGTTTTCAGTTTGGTCAGTATATGGTTCCCATCTTACTCAGTGAGCACCTGTTTAGAAGCCAGAGCTGGCTTCTTTGTGAACTTCCTGTCTTGATAGTAACATATTGTACTGACTTAGCTTTTTCCACTGTCATGACTGTAATTTGTTCCCAAATGTAAGTATTTGGGTTTCATCATAACTAGAATTTATATCAAAATAGCTGTTCTATTTTCTGCATGTCTGCCACATTGAAAGTGTCGTCTTGTGCTGGCTTCACTAGGGATGTTTCTGAAATAGCATTCTGTTGCTCTTCTGCAAACTGCTAGTGGAGCAGAAGGTGCTTTTTTCTTAATAGTTTTGATTAGCAAGTAGCATTTCATTTCTCCCTTTTTAGGGGTTAGCGGGCTTCTTTTTATTCTTTAAACTTATCTAAAGCCTCAAACTTAAGTTCTTTCTGTTGTTAAGAAAAGCAGAAGAGAAGTAAAGAAGCAATAGAAGATTTGAAACAATTTCCATGTTACCTATTGAAAGTTATGCTTTTTTGCAACATCCCGTCTCAGTAATGATTTAGAAACTAGAGAAGCATTCAGGCATGTCTTTCAAAGCAAGAAAAAGCCTTGGTTAACTGAAGATTTTTAGTTTGATTGTAGTGATTTAAAATAGTAAATCTTAAACGTAGATGTCAACCTGACACCAAGTAGAAGTGTTAGCAATGGTGTAACAAAAGATCTTTGTGCTTTCTGCAGTCTGTGCCCTGAAATATGAAATTGGAAAAGCAGGAATCAAATTTTCAAGCCTTGTGCCTTTTCCATAGGTACAAGTTCCACGAATTGAGTATGGTGGTGGCTGCCCTCTACTATAAGTGAAGCTATTGAGGCTACAACCCATTTGCAACAAGGAGATGCTTGTTCAAGAGCTGTTTTGAATTGTAGCACTTTGCTAAGAATTAAGAGCAATCCTATAAATGTGTGGTGGGGTGGGGGGGACAGAAGTCAGGGAGCACTTCTACCGTATGAGAGAGCAGTACACTGCTGCTTAAGAAAATGTAAGTGTGTGTGAATTCTGAAAGTGCTTTTTTTTATCAGTAAAATAGATCATTATATAATCCTGCAGCTTGTCTTGTCACGAAATGGGAACAAATCCCACTGTTCTGTCCAGACTTCTATAAAATTAACAAACTTGGCTTTGTAGGAAATGACTATGGTCTTGTTGGCTTTAATACATCTCTTCCACTGCATATAGAGGTATCCTCTTGGGTGTTACTGAGAGGTGTAGTGGCTGTTGTTTCAAGATATCTCTATTAGTAAATACATAGTTAACTGACATAACTATTGTTTAATAACCAGCATGCTTCAGCAGGGGGAGAGCTGGTGGGGGGGGGATTTATCCTAAAGTAGCGCTCCACAGAAGGCAGAGGTGCAATGTAAAATAACATACTGTAATATTTGAATACTGTTAATGCTTTTATTCAAGTGTTATCCATTGTTCAGAGACTTTCTAGGTTTTTTTTTTTTCTCTCTTGTGAAAGAAAATTGGAGGAGTAAGCTTTGGCATTTTCTTGATTTCTGTAAATTTGCATTTATATTGGACCAAATAAAATCCTGAATATACACCAGGATTCCAGAGAACAGTTCATTTGCCCAGTTTCCATCCTGCTCCCCCTCTGCTGTTTTGAACATTTATGTTGAAATAAGGTTTCCTGCTCTTTCTCCCCACTCCTCATTTAAGACACCCTTATGTGTTCCCTTGGACTGGATGGGCCAGGAACTACACAAGGTGTAACGTGGCTGTGTTTGTGGTCTCTACATAGTGCTGTTCCATTATTTCTGTTCTTTCAGCCTTTCAAACGATTTCTTCCTTCCTGGCTTGGAAGGTATCTGTCATGCCAAGCAGCTTTAGCAAAGCTGCTTGACTTAGTTACGTAGCAGTATTATGGAATACGTAAGTTACATCTGCCTAATTTGCGAGATGCCTATACCTGAATTGCTTCAGAAAAAGGTCTGAAAATGTGGGTTTCCAGGTAAACAACTGCTGGAAACTTATTAGAAGCTGATAACAACTGTGAAACAGAAACTCTGAGGAATGTGGATCTCCCCGCTTCACTTCTGTGGAGCGGCAGGACTGGGGGACATCACGATTCCTGGTGTCTAATTCCATTTCAACATCTGTGTGTTCGACTCTTCTGTAGTACTACAGCTTGTATTTACACCTGAAGTTATGTATGTATTCAGGATAGTTAGCTGAGGTTGGCAGTCACCAAAGAAACTGGAGCAAAGAGATAACAAAAACTTGTGTGAACAGCCTGTTGGTTTGGTCAATATGAATCTCCAGAAAGGGCTATAAAACTCACCTGTGTCTGTTTGTATAAAGCTTAAAAATTTATCTGGTTTTGATATGTAGTCGGTAGTGATTATTTTTATATAATGTATAACATGTCGATAATGTTTTCTGGAGTTCACTGCGCTATATTTATCTATATTTTATGCTAATGCTATTTTCTGTGGCTTACGCTGCTCCCTTTTGCAATCTAAAATTGCATATCTTGCATAACTAATGAGCACACTCTTAAGAAAATTGTCTTACTTCCTTGACAGTTGTTTCGAGAAGTACGAATAATGAAGATACTGAATCATCCCAATATTGGTAGGAGCCCTGCATTTCTGCAAACTTCTTTTTTTGTTATACTGTGTACATTTTACTCTCTTTGGCTTTATTTGAATGAACTTTACTGCTATGCTTTTATTCATTAAACTTTTTTGAGATAATAGGACAGTGAGCGTTCAGTAAATGCTTCCTTGTCTCACCTCCTTTATTGACTCCGCTTGAAACAGGAATTTTGCTCGGAGGAGATAAACTGCTCAGTCCAGGAAAGCCTTAACACAAAGTAGGAGATGCTGAGCACTCTGTTCTGTTGAGGGCCCCAACTCCCCTGTTCCATTGAAACTACTCTTCAGGCCAAAAAGCATGAGTTTCTTAGGTGAAAGCAGCAAAACTCCATTAGTTCAGTCTAGGAAAGATTCTTCTCTGACTGATATTTCCAGAAAATTAGAATTATGAAGTATGTAATTTTCCCTTTCTGCTTTAGTTCTTTCACCTACCCCACAGCTTCAGGGCCCTACTTTGTGATGACAATTCTTCTGGCTGAGGAGGGCTGGACAGTCTTGTTCCAGAGACAGTTAATGGTCCTGAATCGGCCAGAGGGCTTGTTGCATACAAGGTATGGATGAGGTGTACAAGTTATTACATGCTAGGCGCTCCCTTCTCGTCCCTTGAATTGTTTGTTGCTTTTTCAGCATTCTTAGCTTCTCCTGGTTTTTGTTTTCTTGGGGGTGGCGGGAGGTGTGTGTGTTTGTTTTGAATAAGTGGTTACTATTACAGTCTGAGGAAAGTCTTTCAGGCTTAAGGTTTCTGGAATCCGCTTGGGTTTTAGTTGGTCCAAATCTCAGATTTCTAACTGGGAGCGGTTTATTAGTGAAACAGGGAAGGTTTGTATGATCTTAAAAACGTCTGTGTCAAATTAAACACTAATTCCAGCATGAACTTGTTTGTACAGTGTGCATAAAATTTTGAGAAAATTGTGAATTAATATGCCTTATTACCAACTGTGATTTAGAAATTAATTTTGCTTTTCTCCCCTCAAAAGAATGCTAACCTAAAGGATATACAGTTTTCATATGGTTTAGTGTTATCACTGGCCATAAATTATACTCTCTTCCTGAGTATAATTTTTTGTTTGTGCTGTGCTTTTGCTCCTTGCAGCAATCTCTCTCTCATTCATTTTTCTTGCAGTAAAATTATTTGAAGTTATTGAAACTGAAAAGACATTGTATTTGGTAATGGAATATGCCAGTGGGGGTAAGTGGATTCTTAATTCTGCTTTAAGGATAAAGTGAAATAGGGAAAACCATGCCAGTTGCATGCTTAGGAATGATTTAAGAATTTTATGGTTAATGACTTATTCCAATTTGGCCTTCACAACAGACCTAGCAGACCTTCCAGGGCTGACTTTCTTGCTTGCATCGTGTTCTGTAAAGTAACCTATTAGGTCTATGCTTAAGGTTACTTATCGTTCTGAGGTTTCTCCTGGAATATCAGGAGATAATCTGGTGCTGATCCTGGCAAAAACTTGACTTGGTATTTATCTGCTATATTTAGGCAAGCACTGGTGCCTCATTTTATCTTAAAAATGTGTGCCAAAGCACTTGGAGAGGCAGGTCTGGGGGATGGGAATAAGGAACACAGGAGAGGGGACCAGCAGGATCTTAGAGTGAGAGAAATAGTGGGTGCCTGCTTGAGAAGCTGCTTAGCACCTGAATAGGAAATGTTTGAATGTAGGAAGGGAATCCAGCACAGGGCTAGTAACCAGCTAGGAAAGACAGCTCGTCAGATAGTGCAAAGATGAGAATCTGAAAGGCATTTGAATAGCTTTATTAGAAATAGAACAAGAAGGAAAAAACAGAGGTAATACAGACACTGTTAAGTGAAGCTGCTAGAGATATGCAAAATTAATCTGGTACATAAGAAGTTGCCTGTTTCCCAGTGTGTCTTATATGCAATATGAACGTGTTCCATGATTATAGTAAATTATTTTTTGTTTGTTTCAGTAAATTTATTTTTAAAATTGAAGAAGCCTTAGTATGAAGGGTTCCATTTTTATATTTCTTGACTATTACGTGTCTGAAAAATGAAATCCAATGCAAACAGTAAAAAGGAATTTTTCCTGGCTGTTTCTATTTACTTTCCCTTCAAGAAGCTGGGGGGAGGGAGGGGGAGTTGTTGTTTTCAAGCATGATTTGATTGTGCATGACAGTCAAAAATAAAACCTGGGAAATAGGACTGATGGTTTGTCCTTGTCGTGGTCAGGAGAAGTGTTCGACTACCTAGTTGCGCATGGAAGAATGAAAGAGAAAGAGGCTCGTGCAAAATTCAGGCAGGTATGAAATTAACAGTCACTCTTTCTTTTGTTTCTATTTATGGCATTTTCAGATAGACATGAGTGTGAGCCTACTTCTTTTACTTTAAAAAAATATTCATTGTTGTGATAATGTTTATTAAAGCTGGAGTGGAAAAAAACCCTGAAGAGAAAAATATCTGCTTCCTACATACTATCTAAAAATAGTAAGACGGTTTTACGTTCTTTTTAGTGGATGTTCCTAAGAGCCACATTTTTTATTGTGACTCACTTGAGGTTTCAATCCTTTTCTGAATATTTTAGAATTTAACAGATGTTCTATCTGGAGATGTTGATATGGTGACGTGTATTGCTGTGTCATGTCATACTGTTTTGTATGAAGGGTATTCTGTAACAGGTTTTTATTCTTATTGCGAACTTTCTCACCTTAATCTTTTTCTTACCCTGTTTTTAGTGACTGTTTTGTGAAAAGCTTTAATTAGATAAATAAAGAAAAGTTGGTATTTTTCAAAATCAAAGTATATAATCAACAAGAAAGCAACTGCTTTTAACTTGCTGTTTCAGACTTGATTTTTGTTATACATATGTGAAATATGTATATGAACTATTCACTATATGAATATGTGAATGAACTATTCTGTCAGGGAGGAATGGCAGAGATATGCTGCAAATATTTCCAAAGATAAAATCTGAGATGGTATATCTGGCTCTTGGGTTGGGGGATGGAATAATTTCCTTTTAAAGTTATTGCTATTGGGTGATCTGCATTTAAAATAGATGTTTCTCCTATTACCTTGAGGAATATGTATTAAACTTCTTTTAATAAGAAAATGAGCTGCTTTTAGGGACTTTCTAGAATGAAAGCTTTATTTATTAATTTCTTAAGTTCTACTGAATCATATCAGGAGCCAAGATTACTAAATTATATACGCAAACTTATACTGAGCTTGAGATAAAATATTTCACTGATCATCTTGGTGTTTCAGATTGTATCTGCCGTGCAGTACTGTCATCAGAAATGCATAGTTCATCGTGATCTTAAGGTAGGCTGCTACTTATTTTTCATTTTGCTGATTGATAGTATAGACTTAATTTCATTCTATATACTTGTCCTTGCCACTGTCTCTGAATGCCTCAAACATGTGAATGAGGGAACTCTCACATATATTTTATTCTCATTTTTCTGCAGCACAAAAATAATGTAGCTTGCCTGTTGGAACAAGGGAGAGACAAGAATAGAACATGTGTTACTTTCATTCCAGTTTTGGCTTTAAGAAAAAGACATGCTCTCCAAAGAATTAGATCTGCTGGCATACAGATATCTACACACTGAAGCTGCAGAAGTTCAATGATACCAGTCAGCACTACTTAATTAAAATATTTTCAGTTAAAATATATTGCAAGATACATAAAACAGTCTTTTCTTAGTGATTCATAAGAAATACGTTAGGTTTTTAGTCCATTTGAACTTCTAGTTTATACTCTAGTGTTTAAGTCAGGCAGAAAAATAAATCAAAGCTAAACAGAAGTTAGTAGAACTTCCTTCTTTTGATGCTTTCTAGTAATCTGTCTGCGTAACATACCAGACCATGTTAAAGAGATCTGCAATTGCAGGTACAACGTAAGCCTTCAGTCTGAAGTTGTCTTTGTGCCAAGTTTAGGTATCATGGGACTTGGACACAAGATCTTCACCTGCTTAAAAGTTGGCTCCTGCTCTTGCTTTGATGTCTTTGTACATTTACAAAGAAATCACTGGTGTATGTTCTTTTTTACTAGTGTATCAAATACTTGTGAAAAGCTGAGGTTGAATAATTCCTACGGGTTTTTTTCACCAGTATCTTTTGTCTTAACTTTCTTATAATACACTGCAGCATACTCTCAACCTCTCTTACAAATCTCTTCCCTAATACCTGTCCATCTGCCAGCTCCTGCATGTGCATATGGTGCTGGATAATACATCCTTTTCTGCTGAGTCCTCCCTGCCCCAAGACCATTGTCATCTGATGATGGAGGTGCCTGACCAGTACTCTGCAGTCAGAATGTAAGGAAGGAAAGGGCTGGATCTTATTGAATTGATTTAAAAAAATTCCTTCCCATCTTGCGTGGTGGTTTGGAGCCCATGAGTACTCCCCTTGGCGGGGAGTAGGGAGCCAGCCATCTCCTGTGCTTGCGTGGCACTGGCTTGCTCAGCCCAGCTATATTATCGAGTCTTACTGCATTAACCCCTGCAGTTGTTTAGCATCCTGCACCTCGCTCCTTCTCCCAGAGCCTATAGTAGCCTCCACCCCTCATTCATTTCTTAGTTCTATAGCATGCATACAGCTCACTGCATTGCTCACAGGACTATACAAAACTGCTTTGCAGCATTCACGCGGGATCCCTTTTACCAGATGTCACAAGTACTCTGCTGATGATCTCTTTCCTATTTGCAAGACAGGCAGGCAGGCTCCAAAATAATGTCTTTCTCTGCTTTTCTCTCTCTGTTTTCTCTTGGATGGAGTTATGCTAGACTTATTTGAAAAGTTCAGTGTTAGGTGTGATTGAAAGCCAGTCAGCCTAGCCAATGAAAAATACATTCTCCAAAGAAAAAAGGGCTAAACATGTGCCTTTGAGGATGTGTTCTCACTTTGTCTCTTCTTTCCAAACGTTATCGCTCTCTCACTTAAAACTCTTCTCATGGAGCTGCAGAGAAGGAAGAAGCAACTTTAAAGTTGTGTCTGCATTCATATCTGCTTCTGTTGACTTTCTCCATGATATCAGCGTGTTGATGGATTGACATTTGTTAGCATCTCAAGGCAGAGGTCTAGCACCACTTTGAAGATTTTTTGATAAGCCTTTTTGGCTTTAATAACACAAAGGGTAAACTCCATCAAATGTAAGTTACTTCAGACTAAACCAGGAAGATGTGTAAGAAAAGGTGCAAGTTTGTCCAGGCTATTCTGGCAGAAGAGGAGGGAGCACAAGGCCTGTGGGTACTTAAACTGTCTCCTTTTATTTTTCTGTGATTATAAAGAGCTTGCATAGAAAGGGCTATAACCAGTTCCAACTTTGCTCATCCTGTGACCTTAACTTATCTTTTCAGTGACTGTTAATACTTTTTGTTCTGAACATGTAACCAACAAGAGCATAGTCTTTCTATTTGGCATATTAAAAAGGTCTTTTTGGTGTTTTTGTTTGAAGTAAGAAATGTAAAAGCATCGGGTACTTGGGTAGCAGAGTACTGTTGAACTAGGAGGACTATTGTAATCACAGAGCAGCTGCACTGACAGTAATGTTTTCACCACAAGGAAAATGAAGTCTTTGTGCAGTAATGTAGAAGGCTGTCAAATCTGGAAAATATCTCTGTGAGTCTGTCTGCAGGCACATCAGCTGGATGAGCTGAGATTACACGTCATGAATTGGGAAAATAAAATATTTTCCAGGATAGTTTGTAAAAATGGGTTCTATTTTACTCCTGATAGAGGCTAACTTCTGTTGTGCAGCTATTGGCTTGATATACTAGTAGTTAATTTTCTCCTGTTCTGTTCATTGAGTGCAAGTGAAATTATTAAAAAATAAAACAAAACCGACAAACCCAAACAAAATCATGTTTACCCTTTTAATCAAAGCAACTAACAAATTAATTGCTGCTTCTCTGATCCTGAACTAAGACTTTTTTATTTTCTGGGCTCAATTCTGGGTACAGCATCTGATGAGAGATGTCTGCATTTGCTATAATACTGATGCTTGGCAATTAGGGGAATCACCTGCTCTGGCTAATGTCCGTCCTCCTGTTCAAAAAGGAGGATTTCTGCACTGCTCTGTGCTGCTCCTGTGTTGCTGATATGCAGATCAGGAGCCAGGACCCAGCTCCTGGATACATGAGTAAACATTGCCCAATTCTGCCACTCTCCTTGCACAGCATCCTTGCATTTTGGGAAATGCACTTTATTTTTTTCCAGGAACGTATTAGTATTTCTCTAACCTCACTCTTCAAATCTTCTGACCTGCCTGTGATACTAAGTATAAGATACTGTTTACTGACCCTGCAGCCTGCTATACTTGCATCTATGTATATGTGATGCGTTGCATTCACATGATGATTGCTGCACAGGCATTAATGTTCTTAGATGTATAATACATGTATTTTTTCCATACACCATGTAATATTCAAGTGTTAAACACCTTGGTGGTGTTACTGCTAAAGCAAACACTAATAATAAAGGGGGGAGAATTTTTGGTACAGAATGCTAAGATACAGCACATACCTTGAAGTGTTTCATCTTGTAAGCAGAAGGGATCTTTTAAAATCTTAAATCCCTTCTAACATTTACCCCACCAAAACGGTAGATGGTGTCTGGGATTAGATTTACGTTCCTTGGCATCAGAAGCTGGCATGAACGTGTCAAAAGCTGAAAGCGGTATTATGAGAAGTCTGGATGCTTCAGTCTAGAGCTAAACCAAGTTATTTCTTCCAGAAAAGAAAACCTTCATGGTTGATTGACTAGCGAACTTTCAAGTCTGTTTAGCTGCTTTTAACAGTTATGTTTTCCTGAGTAAACGTAGTTGATTTTCAATCTTTATAATGTACTCAGGGAGATTAGTTTCTTTTGTTCTGTAAGATACAGATGGTGAACCACTTTAGAAAAAGAAACATTTTTGCATTTATTTATAAGTGGTATACTGTAATACATTGGAACTTATTCTGATATATAAGTTGTCCTTTCTCATCTTTTATTTTTCCCTTAGGCAGAAAACCTTCTACTTGATGCAGACATGAACATTAAAATTGCAGACTTTGGTTTTAGTAATGAATTTACAGTCGGTAATAAACTGGACACATTTTGTGGAAGCCCACCTTATGCTGCTCCTGAACTTTTCCAAGGAAAGAAATACGATGGTCCTGAAGTGGATGTGTGGAGCCTTGGGGTGATTTTGTACACACTAGTAAGCGGATCATTGCCATTTGATGGTCAGAATCTAAAGGTACGGTTACAATATGAAAGTTTGGCTTTTACTCTCTTTAAATCTTCTATGTCATTAGTAGGCTCACCTCTTAAAACTTTGTTTTAAAGGAACTGAGGGAGCGAGTACTGAGGGGGAAGTACCGCATTCCGTTCTATATGTCCACAGACTGTGAAAATCTACTTAAGAAGCTCCTAGTACTGAATCCAATAAAACGAGGCAGCTTGGAAGTAAGTAATCTCATCTTGGAAAAAAAGAGTTTTCAGGTTAAGAAAGAATAAAAGACAATAATTGCTTAAGACTTCTGTATTTTTCACAATAGGTACTTTATTTCAGTTTTAAGGGCCCAGAAGTCTCGTTAAAAATAAACATGGAAATGTGCCAGAAACAGTGCACCTTGAAACAGAAAGTGTTAATGAATGAAAGTCTAACCTTAGTTGCAGCTGACTAAACACTATCATTTAAGAGCATTTCAAAGTGCAGACTGCTCCCACTTATTTCGGTCAGCTAATGGAGCTAGTTCACAATGTGTGGAAAGCAGGACAAGATCGTAAATTTCTTCTACATGGAGTTTTTTCAGGGAAAAAAACCCAAAAACAACAAAACCAGCAGCAGGTAGTAGCATAAGCATTTATGGAAACTTACCGTTTCCAGCATGACTCCCTAAAAAAGGATATATAGTTTTTTTTATCACCTTTCTTCTTCTATGTGAGGTTTTTTGTTTGTTTTAGTACCATAATACAGATAAACACTAAGAACTCTTTGAATGATAAGCTAATAATTGCTAGTTGTTTCTGTTCAGTCCTTTCTTTTCCCCCTTCTGGTAGCTTTGTTTCTGAATTGCTGGAAAATTAACATGTATAATAATACCTGCTGTGTCCCTCAGGTAAAATCTGTTTTGAGGATTTCTACTGAGTTATGATTGGGGCTTTTTTGTCAGTAAATTAGATTTTCTCTTCAGGGGATGCAGAGAATATCTGTGCGTAACTTGTAAGGTGTCTAAAAGGTTCAGTGTTTTCAAGGGGCTGTTTTGTTCAAGATTTGCTGTGTTGGCATGTACTTGCTGGATAACTCCGGAGCTGATATTTAACAAATATTCTGTGTAGAGAGCACTCTAAATGCTGCTCTGTTCTGTTTTGTGAGTTCTTTAACAAAGAGAGACTTTTTAAAATAACATCTACTTGCCATAGAGATGGAAGTAGAGCAGAAAATAAATAGAATGGTTTTAAAATAGTATTTGCATGAGTTAATCACTAGTGACTTTTGTTTCATCTTTCTAAGCATACTTGTGCAGCGGTGGACGGTGTTCCAGAGAATAAATCCCATTTAAGCAGCTTTTTATTTGTAGTGGCATGACTTATGCTTCCTGGCATGGATGCTACCTGTGTAAGGAAGCGTGTATTTACTGAGGTCTGTCTGCATGCAACTTATTTCAAGCTGATGCTGGTTTGTGACTTGTTATAAATAGTTTTAACTTGAATAAAATCTGTGCTGAAGAGAACAGTGAAAGATGGCTTCTACTTTACTCATATTCATTAATTATGGTGTGTTTATTACTGTCTAGAGGAAATAATAAGAGCGTAGTCACTTGAAGATGGTGAAATATCACTTTTTTCCTGTGTCATGTTTCAAGTTTTAGGAAAAAAGATTTTCCTTTTATTGAACTTTCCTCTGGATTTTCAGCAGTTTCTCCCCAGATCTAATTTCACTTTTCTTCTAGATATTGTAGTGTTATCCAGTTCTTCTAAAATTCCTTCCTGTCCCTGGAGAGAGGTATTGGATAGCAGCCTTGTTGGAATGGTGTAGCTGTCAGATTGTATGAAAGAGAGCGAGTAAATGTTATGTGTGATGGGGGGGGGTCTTGAATCAGCACCAAAATACTGATGATAATGGTCGACATCACAAACTTTTTTTAAAATTAACATTCCTAAAATAACATGTTGTTTGAATTAGAAAGCTATGGTACGTGGTTTGGAAAGAAATTACTATTTCTTCTGTCGGAGCACTTCTAAAAGTATATCTTTATTAGAAGTTTCTGAAAGTGGAAAGACAATACCATCTTAGGTGGGGAGGATTTTTGCTTGTGCTTTGTCTTTTAATTATTTGCTAAGTCACAGCCATACACCTGCTCAGTTCCCATGCATGTTTTTCCCAGACCATCCAATAGGATGTTTGTCAGTGACGTTAGCATCAAAACTGAGACTGACACAGGATCAGCACCGTATCAGTTAGGCTTAGCACTCTTCCTCTGGTAAGGACCAGGCAAATTGTTATTAAAATGGTTCATTTAGCCTTTTTCATGGTTGCAGCACAGAGACAAAATTGTAGAGGCAAGAGAATGTTGTAAAACAGTAAGTCTTCTCAGGAAGAGATGGGGAATAATGCATTGTCAGAAAATATGTGGATCTCTCTTAGCTATCATGATTCCAACAAATTCCTCCTTCCCCTCAGTCTTCAATTCTTTGCAAGGCAACACTATGTGAAATTCCCACAGAGCAGATTTATGCTTACAAAGAGTAATAAAGTAAAGAATTTTGGGACAGACAGGTCTTGAGCCAGGCCAGATTTTTATTAGACAGTTTTCCTGAAAATTGAGGGAAACCTCATCGATAATATCTGGTTGATTGAAATTCAGTTTAGGTTGATCTTTAAGAAATACAGTTTGGGTCAGGTCTTTAAATACCCTGACCAAAGCTGCTGCTCTTTAATCAGCTGACTGGAAGCCCAGCTGAACTTACACAGATGTAAAATTGATCCTGGAATTGGATCATTTGTGTCACTTCGAAATGCTTGATTGTAAGAGCCAGTTTTAAGAGTTGTACAATAACTCAGTATGTCTATGAGATCATTTTAGACAGAAGCTGGCAAAAGTTTAGATATTTAACAGATGGAAACCTAGAGCAGATTACATTGAACTATAGATCCACCTACTGAAGAGACATGAAAAACTCTAAGTGGGAATTGTTGGGTTTGCGTCTTAATTCAAGAAGGATCAAGAAAGGGGGGTGGGATTTGAGCAGTGTGATTCCTGTCATCACAACACCTCATCATGCTTAAACTTTAGATTTAATTAACAATATCTTTAAAAAATTGTAATTGCAGATACTGCGTAGTACTCTTTGGGGAGTCTATAATGTTACTGCAAGGCTACAAATACATAACCCACTTAAACTCATGCTCTGTGTGCCAGAAGTGCAATATAGCAATACATGTTCACAACCCCTTTATCCCCCTCAAAAACCAAAAAATCAATTCTGTGGCAAAGCTTTGAACAAATCTTTAAGTCTTATTGTCAGCAAAATGTTAGCTGGCCCAAGTACAAAGTCCTGTATTGTTCTTGTAAGGATACAGCTATTTGGGTCTGTAATTTGGCAGCAGCACTACATACAGAGAATTTGGTTATATCAATGGAAAATAGGGTCTTTTGCTCTTTGTGAGAAATAACTTAATTTGGTGTTTGCGAGGCCTATCTGGAGTTTGTGGGAAACTTGACTTGCTGGCACTTGTTCCGCTCTTCTGTCAATCTAGTGAGCAACACTAGCATCTGTCCCTAAGGAGGCATGTGTGCCTGTTGCTGTAGGAGGGAAAATGTTTGTAGCTGTTTTAAAAAGGATGAATATGTCTTAACGAGAAATTGTGGTGGTGGTTAGGGATTCCAGCTGATCAGTCTTGCAGGAATATAAAAGATCCAGGCCACAGCAGGAAGAAATTTTGCAAAGAATGCAGGAGAAATATTTAAAGTAAATGTCTGCATGGCACAGAGAGAGTTAAGAGGCATATCTCTCTCCAGCTGAACTGTGAACATATTTAGGTCAAGTGCAGTGAGAAGATCCATAGGAAAAAATGGCCAGTTGGCATCACAGTTTTGAAACAAATGACTGTAGGAAGCATCGGCATGCTCCTGAAATATTCCTTAGTTTCTAAACACTTCCTCTGTTATTATTTGAAGGAGTTACTTATTGTGATCGAGTTGGTATTGTAGTAACATCTAGGGATCCTAACCAAGATTAAGGAACGAGTGTCAGGCACTTGGCAAGATGAGATTAAGAGGCAGTGGAAGTGAAGGGTACAAAATGAAAGATTTTTGTACGTTGGAACTGCAGGGTTGTTTTTTTTCTCAGCATTTTTTCTGATATTTTGGGCAGGGGGATTGTATTGTAAGAGGTAAATAGTAGGGGGAAATGAGATGAACTAATGGAGACAAAAGGATGTGAAAGATAAAAAAAGAAATCAAGATGTGATGGGGAAAAAGCAGCATTCAGATTGTTATGAATTTTAGTTGGTTTTCCTCAGACCAGCCAGCACAGATTTAATCAGGTATGGCAAATGGCATATTGACCTAAAGCTCATTTCTTTTCTTAGCAAATTATGAAGGATCGGTGGATGAATGTTGGCCATGAAGAAGAAGAACTAAAGCCATATACTGAGCCCGAACCAGATTTTAATGACACCAAGAGAATAGGTAAGACTTACTCGTATGTTGCATCTGATGTAGATACGGAATTTTATCTTTTAAGTCAAACTAAACTCTTATCGAATTTGAGATACAATCTCATTGTACAAGTAAAATGTTTTCTTTTTTTTTTTAAATGAGAAATTTCATTACAATGCCCTCCTTATAACTACTGTTGTGACTTCACTGAGCTGACATGAATCTACAAGCACAGTAAAAGACAAATGAGGGCAACAATTTTTATCTGCAGTGGTCGGAGAAAGATACTGTGTTGGTCCTGTAGCTGTTCATAGTTTCTATTTGCTAGTGTTCTATTTGTTTGTTGAATAACATATGATGTTGAACTATGTTGAATAACATAGTTGAGAGTTTTCAAGAAGAAAATAACAATGAAAGAGGGGAGTTGTAGCCTTTTTGATTTTGCACAGCAAAGATGATGCTGGTTGAGTTGAGTCCTAGTTACCTGTTAAATTATAAGGGGTTTTTATATTTTCATTTTTATTAAGTTGTCAGTAAACCCAAGCACTTATTCTTCTAATGCATCTAGCTCTTTTTACTTTTAGACATTATGGTCACAATGGGCTTTTCAAGAGAAGAAATCCATGAATCTTTAGTAAACCAAAAGTACGATGAAGTCATGGCCACTTACCTGCTTCTAGGTAGAAAACCACCTGAAGTAAGTGCTACCTAATTTACATCTTCTCTTTTGGCCTTTGCATCTGGCTGGGATGAATATTCTGGTTGTTGATGTTTTTATCAGCTATTTTGTAACATATTTTTTAAAAAAAGTGACTGGTAACTTACTAATGTCTTCCCTTTTCATATCGTCTTGGATATCTCATTAGTTCCCATATAAAGAAATAGACTGAATATTGTGTCTTCTTGTGTGCTTGTAAATATGGTGAATTCCTAGCTGTTAATCTGAAGTGGTATGACTTCTAAGTGCTAAGTCTTCTTCGTGTCATATGTCTACAGTTAAAATCTGAAATAGTTAATTTGACTAGAGCAATTATTGTTTGAGCCACTAAGATGTGACATCCCTTATTTCTCACAAACGTACTCATACTTTCTCACTTATATATTATAGTATATTCTATTATTTAATAAATAATTGCATTTTAGTAATTAATAAATTTGTCATAGAAAATCTTTTGACTGTTTTGGAACTGGAGGGATCTGTAGATCTTTCGAGACCACTGGGATTTTCAAGAAATCAAGCTGAGACGAAGGGTTTCGTTTTGAAGGAATTATTTTTTTCCTGCTGTTTCCTTGGCCTGCCTTCATTTCCGAGATAGTGTAGAACTGATATGTGCATCCTTGATTGCATTTTCCCACAACATCTCTGAAACGGAATTCCCTTGTGATGGCAGAGTATGGAGGGAATGTCTCTAAAATGATTTTGACTCGAACTGCTTGGAAGAGGATATTTGTCTTTTCCGCTGCTCTTACTTACAACCTATGCTTCGTAGATATCAACAAAGGAGTGGCTGAGTTTACATACCTTATAAAGATGTGTTGAAGACCATAAAGAATCCTTGAATCAGTAGTGCTTGCTTTTTTAGCCCTGCTGACTCAATCAGATGTATTTTGAAATAGTTCTGAAGCTATAAATGCTCTTAAAGCTTTAAAAGAAAACCAAAAAAGGCTTAGGTTTTAAAATAGCATGGATTTTGTTACTGTCAAGATTCTTATAATTTTAGTTTGAGCATTCATTAACTAATTAGCTTTAGCTGTGTGTTTTTAAAGCACATTAAACACAGACGAAGTGATAAAATTCATCTTGAAGAAAATTAAACTCTGGATACAATTTTAAATTTAAAAAAAAAAAAAGCCTTTGATTGGAACCTTTGGCTTTATTATGCCTTAAAAGTACAGTAATGTTGAATTTTGTTTATACTTTGAAAAACTGTTTTTCTTGTAGTTTGAAGGAGGCGAATCCTTGTCCAGCAGCAACTTAGGTCAAAGGTCTCGTCCTAGCAGTGACCTCAACAACAGTTCTGTGCAGTCTCCCGCTCACCTGAAGGTCCAACGGAGTATATCAACTAATCAGAAACAACGGCGGTTCAGTGATCATGGTGGGGATGACATTCCAACAAGTAAAGTAACATACACAACTTAAGTCTGAATGTGCAGTGTTTTGTGAACCTGGCAGGTCCACCACTCTGTGCATTTGTTGTGTATCTCGTTGTGCTCCGCTGTGATGCTTTTATTTGTATGAACGCTTCTATGGTAAATCTGGGTCAATGTAATTTACAGATTTATTTTTATGGACTTGTTACTTGGTTGACTCACTAAATAAGAGCTTGAGGATGTTTCCTGTTTAGGAAGTCATGGCAAAATACGGGTCTGGATAAACTCAAAAGGCAGCAAACCTTTATGTTTATCAGTACATTTGGAGTTGGGGCCAAATTGTTTCCAAGAGACAACAATTTTACCAAGTACTCAGGAAACATTTTCAGGTGAAAGTGGTTACATCCAAAAGATGTACATATTTAAAACATTAAATGAAGGGTGATTTTTTTTTTCTTTTTTCAGATACCTATCAAATTACTAGAAATATTCCTGAAATGTTTTGCCCTTTTCTCTGCCTAATTTACATTGTTATTTCTAATATTCTCCCCGTATTTTTTTTTACTAGTCTCCCTCTATGCTAGTCGTGGGGGGGGGGGGGGGAGCTGGTGGGTTTTGTTTTTGTTTTTTCAAAAAAGTAACCAATATTGTGAAGATCATCAGATGATGTAATTTTATTTCAAAGAAATGTAAAATTCTACTGATGGAGGATTTGTGCCAAAGCATTTTAAAGAACGATGAGGGGGAAAGAATTGTAATTTTTCCAAGTATAAACATGCTTTAAAACAAAGTAGTTATAGTGCTTTCAGGGGGAAAGGATCTTCCATAGTGTTTAGAGGAAAAGATACGTGGCAAAAAGTAGTAAAAAAAGATAATTTGAAAAGTATCTTCTAATTCCTTTTTTCATAATATTGGACAAATTGCATGCGTTTAAAATGAGAATTAAAATACTCTTCTAGGTTTTACATATTGATGTGAAATGGGAACTAATTCTGAACTGCAAATTGGTAATGAAGAGAGAGTAGGTAAAAAGAACAGGCTGTCAAAGCTCAATTTAATAGGTTGGTATATGTGCTGAGTTTACAGTCATGGTTGTTCAAATGCTTTTTTTGGACTCGGGGAATTATATTTAGACTATTTTGGCCAAGAAAAATGCAGTGATTATTTTTAGGTATTTATTAAAACTGTTTTTATTTGGCAGTTGGTCCCTCAATTCCTCCTGCTGTGTCATACACAAAAAGGGCTCAGGCAAATAGTGTGGAAAGTGAACAGAAAGAAGACTGGGACAAGGATGTCTCACGCAAACTTAGCAGCACTACAGTGGGATCCAAAGGAGAGATGGCTGCAAGTCCACTTGTGGGTCCAGAAAGAAAGAAATCAACTACAGTTCCCAGTGTGAGTGTGTGTGCTTTTGGCTTGTTATATTTATTTTTCCCTATTTAAACAAAATCTGCAGCATAAGGTTACTATAGACATAATGGTTACTGAATAAGCCACTAAGTCTATTTCTGGTAACTCTTACTGGCAGACAGAAATAGGCTAGAGTGGATGTCTTTTAAAATAAACCTTTCCCTTCCCCCCACAACTTTACTTTTTCTAACACTAACATAACAGTAAGCACAAGAATGTCTGCACTTGA